AATATTGCGAGTTCTTTGTCGTTAATCTAGTTAACACAATTATGTTAGACGAACGCGATTGGTCGGCGAACGAATGACGTATTTAGAAACATACACGAGGACTGATAACAACCCGATAACCCGTACCGTAAAATTATCGCCAGCTCTTAAAAGAAAAACGCAGGAAAAATTCGCTAAGCGTCACTTACCTCGTACTCACATGTTACTCGGCTTTCGATGTGTGATTCTGTGTCAAGAGTGGTCTTCGAGGTAGTTATATTTATTACCGATGGCGAAGCTACTACGCTGGCGCATGGATTCACGTCGACGCAGAGCGGTGCCGCATTGAGCTCTATACGGCTATACGTATGGGCGTAGGAACTACTGAGTTCTTACCCCGCTGCCCCTCTACCCAAAACTCATAGGCCGACAAGCAAAGTGGCATAAGTACGCCTTTGGTATACTGATAGAAACCAACCGTTTCGTCGGTCGAAAGAGACCTTATCTATAGAGGAACACCGCTCAAGCGACATTTGTACCGGTTGCGTTAGAGTTGAGGAGATTTTGACGCGACTGAAATGGGCGACTGTTATATAGGAGCCAAGTAACCCAATTTTAGAGAGAAATAGGATAAGGAGTTGTCAGAGTATATGAGTTGTAGGAAAACTCTGTTTTCATACAGAAATACTTTTCACTTTCCTTCCATTGAAAACTTTTTAAATTCTTGCAATCAACTTTAGAACGGTTTATTTAATATTTTTGTTTGAACTAAACATAAAAATGTTGAAGTTTTTAAAGTATGATTTATACATCGATTAATGTATCTTGTCTTTTAAAAAAAAATCGTACTTTGTTCACGATTTAGAGCCAATATAAGATATATATATAGAATAAAAATTTCATATTTAATAAAAGTATAATCCAATGACATTTATATAAATGTTAATTTAAAAAGAATTCAGGTGATGTTAAATGACTTTATTCTTTTTTCGTAGCAAAATTTTCTCTTGTCTTTGTCTATTAGAGGATAATTATATATCGTTATAAGAAACTGTTTATATTATGTTTATCAACTTAAAGGTTACGTAATTTTTTCAAATTATGCTTAATGTTATGCATAAATTCACTTTCACTGTTAGTGACGTCACTAAGATGTTCGTGTGTGACTCGATCATTTAGGAATTATTAAAGGTGTCTTACTGTATAAAATAACTTTACAATATAAAAACAAATACCTACTGTATTAAAGAATAGGAAGAAAATATTTTTTTTTCCCGGGCAAATGGTGGGCAGTGTGGGACTCAAGTCCTGAAATACTGTGTACCCGATCTAAACCCCGAACCGAACCCTGAACCGTCTAAATATCATACCTACTGGCTGGTACGGGTAATACTTCTTTTCCCCGTGAATATAAATCTGGGTAAGAATTAGATCGAGCATCAGGGCGAAGTATAAATCCTGTAAGTCAAATAATTTATTAAGTATAAACTATAAAGTGCTTTAAAAATACTTCCATTGTACACAGGCACAGGGGAAATGGAAAGTATCGACATTCCAAATTTTTACCGCGTCAGATTTTTGGCACTTTCCCTTGTGCCCAATATTAACTCCTTAACTTAAGTTGACGGTATTCTAAGTTAAGATGTTAAGCCGATTATATTTAAAGGCTATTATGTTATTATTGTTCGGAAATTAATTTTATTAGCGATTATGTAGGAACCTACTAAATATGTACTAGTATGTACAACAAGCAAATTAGTATGAAGTAGAAAAATGCCTGATCCTTATTAATACTACCTTCATTTGCATGCAATTTCATGTCTTATATTTCAACAACACCGATTCAATTCCGGGCGACCAAAACTGCTATAGGTGAACATTGTTTCGGATGTACAATGATCATCTATAGCAGGTGATCAATGAAATCAACACAGAAATGCTTCAGAGGAAAGACAATAACTTAGATATTTAAAAAAGAGCTTTCATAACAAGTGATTAAATTTATATGTTAAATATTGAAACCGGAAACGAAGCTATATAAAGGCATGTCATGTTATTTCCATAGTTTTATCTAATAAAACAGTAACCTAAACTTTATAACAAATCTTGTCACGCGAGCTGCAGATTCTTAGAAAAGTGACAATATTTTTAAACTTGTCATTGTTACAAAGCTTTATAATTAATCTTATTATTTTTTCTGTAAAGGAAACCGTTTAATATTTAACAAACACGCCAAGGACGGACGTACAAAGCAAAAATGGGTCATGGGGCCTCGTTTTTCCCTCAGGGGGTGGGGTAGGGGGTCATGAAACTAGGTGATCTCCCGGTTGGCCTGCGGGCACCGGGCTACGCGGCCGATGCATACTTCCAACGTAGCTACGAACTGAATTAAATATGCGTTATTTATACATTTTTGTGAATATTAACATGTTTTACAGCACTTATCCTCACATCAAATTGTCTTTTATTAAAGCTTCATGGTACCCTTTAATAGGTTTATATATCAGGTGGAATAGAATCAAACACATATAGTATAAAAATATATTTAATTAAATTATCCTTTTCCAATAGACAATATCAATTGCAAAACTAAAACATTGGTTTTCAGTATATTTGCACTTATTTTCCCTTTAACAAAATAATCTTTTACATTATTTGTATTCGTAACAATAAGCTATTCGAATATTCAGCATTAATATCTATACAATTCCCGTACAATACTTACGATAATTCAAAAGGAGTAATTCAAGTCACACAGGTTTCGAAGTTAACTTGATTCAATTGATTATGATTTTTTCCAGTCACCCCAGAACCCAGACGTGTCTTATAAGAAGGAAGCTCAACAAATTTATAAAGCATTACAGTAGACAGAAAAAAACAAGTACATAGTACATGACTGTTGACTCTAAAGAATTTTTTCAGACCGGTAGGGTTTCGTAAGGAAAACGAAAGGTGTGAGATTCACAAGCGAGCTATTTGTACCGTATGTCGAAATTCAATACATTTTTGGTAAGATTAGATCTCGTTTCTGTATCTTACCCATTAGAACGGAAAATCAATGACATTAATTAGTAACAGGTAACTCATCACACAATATGTATATAAAAATAACAATGACAAAGTTACCTTCTTGAACAAATGGTGTAGATCCATTAAATGCAATTAACTTTTAAATAAATGTAGTTAAAGATATTTTTCGTCAATGTCGTAATTAAACAAAAGTCGAAAAGTTTTAAATATTTTATATTGAGGTAAATATCATTACAGTGAACCCCGGTTAGTTATTGTTGTAAGATCAGAATCAAAGAAACTCGGCGGCGGTATAGAGTTGTCTACACCTAAATCTTTTCTAAAACAAAATGAAATACTACAGAAAATAGTTTAACGTATATTCTGTACATATTTGCTTAAAAAATTTAATTAATTTAAGTTCTAATCCCATCTCCATAAGTCGAAGAAACTAGTATGAAAAAGTAATTTTAGCTTATCCAACAATAGAATATTTTAAATAGTAAAATCAATGAATTCCTATATTTCAAGTTATCGATATAAAATACAACTAAAAGGTTAGCTGATTTCATGTTTTTACGATTACATTTTTATTTTCAGAACAAATAATCGCTTCACAGAGCTCACATCCAGGTTAATATATTTATCTCGGAGCGTTATTCTTCCGCTAGGACGTCGATATAAACGGGGTTTATTCGAATGTAGGTCGAGAGGCGCGTCCACGTTCAACGTGCCAAACCCACACACAGGAGACATGATATCATACACGGATGCACACACACTCACCGGCCCCGTTCGAGAACTAGGCCGAAAATGTCGCGCATGCGCGACTGACTATTGCAGCTGTACCCACAAGTAATGAATAGAGGCCGACACCTAGTGTTACCTAAATTATTATCACTGTCCATTAGAATAACGGAATATGGTCGACATGTGATTTTTTCCGCCTTTGTGAAAAATCCCTTTCTCAATTATATGTTTAAAAAGTCAATAGATTCTAGGTATAAATTATATTTTATTTAGATGCATTATACTCAATTTAATCACACCAGTTTAATCAATTAGGTAAAATAGCATCACCATAAAGTCTTGAAAATTAAAATAGCTCCTAGAGTATACATAAGAAATTCAAAATTTATTTTGTTATCTATTAATTGTTTACAGAATGAACATTATTGATATTATTGATATGATCTAGCTTAGCTATATGTCAAAGTAAAGCTTGTCTAAAATTCAGGTCAGCTCAGCACAGGTCTACATAAATTGAGTATATTAAGTGATATAGCATCATAAAATCAATAATTTCGTTAATACGTTAGGTCGGCAAGGTATTTTTAACCGACCACCTTCTACTACCTAAAGCTTAAAAAGTTTTATATACCACCAAACTATGCAAAGGTGCGTACGACTTCGACTCTTGAGCTTTTGTCAGAACTTTACTATAATTTATTATAACGTGTTAAAAACGGTGGTTATGCATAAATTATTACATATCATCATACCTTATACAGCCATAGAGGTGAATGTGGGGCCCATTATGGGTGCCCGAATAGTTGTAGCGATCTTTCGACATTGTCTACAAGTACAACTCAGAGGAATTTATAAGATTTCGCTTGCAACTTACGATAGATCATTTTGAAATCGTTTTTTTCTATTTAGTGTCTAGCTGTAGTGATTATGGTTTGTTTTCATATGTACGTTATAAGGTAACATGACATATTGTCTAATAGTTCGTTTATAAATAAGACCGTTGGTAGATAGGCATTCAACAGAATATGTGCCTATGTCAAAATTTGTGTAACGAGCTTATTGTACAGCGATATTCTAAGTTGGGTCTAGTCTTTCTCTCTACAGTACGCTTTAAAAAATACCAACTACCCTACTACGTACTACAATTAACTATGTTCCTACCGAAGTAGATAGGTCTAAGCGATCATATAAATACCTAATAAAAGTGAGTAAAGCCTATGTCGGAACATAAAGATGCCAGGTCAGTAAATAAGACAGCGTATTTATACATCTTCCTTTTTATTTAAATTTATAAACGCCGCAGCTGCTTTCGGTACATCACCATCCGCACTTTCTAATTCCTGTTGCAACTCTTCAAATTTTGTTTCTCCTGATCCAGCAACCGCAATCTTCATTTTAAGCAACTTTATGGCAATATGTATGTTCCAATCAGTAAATTCCAACGCTTCAAGGCACTCCTCGGGTGAAATCTGTTAAAAAAGGTTTATTAACATACATGTTTATATAGTCAAAACAACATAAGCGTAGAAAAAATGTAGCGAAGCAATTACACAAAAGAGCGTATACATAAAAAATGCGTTAAATGTAATGACAACAATAAAAGAAAATCATACATCTATTTTATGAATAATAACGTAAATTTTTTTTTTCATTTTTTTATAAACAATGGTAAAGTAAATGTAAAAGGGCGATTTTCTAAGGCCGTTTTTTAATATAAAGAAATGGATCTAATTTTTACCATTCATTCAAATCATCCTGATACATTTACAAACAATTTGAACAAATTATAAAGTTAAAATAAAATTAATGAACAGAAAACAATGATAAATTAACTTTATATTACTTCCCATAGTAGTTATTATCTTTTCTTCGATGAATCCATTGTAAGCGTATGTTTTTAAAATAAAATGTTTACGTAAGAAAACTAGTTAGATTGACATTATATCAATATCATTATTATCACAACAAAGTTTTAATGAAAACTCCTCCTCTCATTTGGTAATGTTTGATATAATATTTAGGTATTCATAAACAATTGTAATTAACAAAAAATTTAATGAAATTAAAGTAGTTTTTGAACGGGATCCTAAATTATCAACCATAACAGTTTTATAGAAATTGACACCGAAACTGGAATAAAACGTAACTTTTTGTAAATTTCTATGATAATAAAAATCGAATTAACTATTTTTCCACCATGACACAAAATATCGGTCGTAGAATAAGGGTTAATTAGCTAATACATCTTATGTCACATAAAATCAAAGGAAATAACAATTATTTAAGTAAATTAGGGTTTTAGTAATAATGTTTAAATATTAATAACTAATAACATAGATTAAACGACTGTTGGGTAGCAGCGCAGTTGCAGAAATGTTTCAAACGAAAAATTGCTATTTTAGAATTTAAAATATTTTTTATTTTAATACCTTTCTACGCACGCACTCGTTTGATTCCAGAGAGAGTTTGAAAAGTGAGTTACAAAATCGCAAGGCAGGTCTTTACTGCGCCCATCATAAAACAAAAGAGTACGCCTATAAGTGTGAAATTTGCTGCTATAGTGTTTCATTAAATTTAAAGAATTTCTCTACAAAGTATTCGTAAACGTCAATACGATTAGGTCAAGTTTTTTTACGAATTCTATAAAACTATGTAATTTCGGAGTTTTTAGTTTCAATAACGCCTATTAGCTCATTTTTTCAATATTCTATCTAGGTACTATTTTATTACATTGCAACGATACTATCTAATGTTATGTTCGTGTATTCGTTCGTATATATAAACGAGGCCTATACCGCGTGAATCGCCAAGAATTTGGTGCACTTGTAGAATCGCTGACAAAACATTTTGAGAAGACAGATTTTGTCATGTAATAACTTAAATATAACTTGAGATATAATATAAATAAATATAAATATTATTAAATAGAATTATTATTAGTGAGACAATTTCATCGATACACGATTTTTTTAAAGTTTTAACATGCTACCTCGTGGTATCTTGAAGTTTTTGACATAACAGACCTCTTTGAATAGCTAAATCTTTAAACCTAAAACTTGTACCCTATTAACAAACCTACGACACCTGAGAAACGATTTCTTTCTCATCTTACGCCTCTCGTAAAAAATTACATAGCCGATTTAAGAAATGTATAAAAATAAGGCTGTAATTTTGAAACATATATTTCACAACATTGATACAACATACGTTTTAAAATGTTAAGTTAAGGTTATATTTGTAAAACAGATTACATATTTTAAAGACGATAAAGAAAGCTATCGTTTTCTTAAAGTAATTATTTCTTTAATTAAAATTAATTTGATTATTACTTAAATAAATTTTACTAAACTAGAAATACAATTTTTAGTAACTTGATATAAAACAGAAAATGCATTGGTTGTTAAAACGTCTCCACATTTTGTATATTACAAGTTTATAACTTTGACGACAATCTGTTACAAGCATACTGCGTAAAATATTTATATATACATATATTGTTTGATTAAACCTCTGCTGGGTACCGTGAAATGTTTATATGACAGACAAAGTGATCTGGTTATACTTTACTAAACTAACATATTTATTTATATATAAATAAATAATTATTTTTAATAATATAAACTTGCATACTAATCAGGAGTCAACCACTCCCAAAATTTATATGACAGACAAAGTGATCTGGTAAATAATCTTAAATTTGAGAGAAAAAAGCAAAACATATTTTATAAATAGTATTAAATTTGTGAACTTTCCCAAACATATATTATATTTTTAGTTTTTAATCGGCGAGCCTTGTAATATGTGAATTGTCTAGTAAATACACGTTAAGTATACATTCATAAATAAATTATTAAAGAATTTTAATCTCAATAATAGAAAAAAATTGTCCACCATTAATTGACACCATAATTAGCTTTGAATTGAGATATGAATCAGTCATCTATTAAGATGGCATATAATATTTATGTTAACGTCCAATATAAAACTGTATCTTTCTTCCTACAATAAAACTGCATTAGATGTGAGAGACTAATCTATTTTTTCGCACACTGTCTGAATTCACAGGGATGGCATTATTCATAATTTGTTATAAATTAGGTTTTATGTTTTCTTATTTAATTATTATGTGATATTATTATATATATTTTTGTATTAATAAGTTTTAAAATAAAAAAAAGAACAGAGTGTGACCCCTTAACAGAGACTGTGAGTTGTGTTATTGAAAAGTTTTTTATGTTAAATATCCTTTTAAGTAAATTAGATTAGTTTTAAATTACTTATTAGTCTTAAGGTAGGCTCGATCGTAATGTTAAATTATGTCTTTGTGCAGAAACAATTTATATTTAAAACTGTAAGATAAGGAAATAAAAAAATATTAGTTGATGCTACGTACGATTTCGATCCTATCGAAATAAAAAAAAATTCAAAAGAAGTCTGATTTAGTAGATATAACTGTACTATTTTATGTCTGTGGAGTTTCTTAAATTTTGCTACTTTATAAAACGCCAACTACATTAAGATAAATTAAGTCGGAATATTTCGAATTACGTATTAAAAGTACGAGTAAAAATGTTTAGAAATCGGTATGTTAATAAATCATATACATCCTACAGGTTTTAGGAACTTCGTATTTTGAACAAATTTTTGTTACGAACCCACTGCTCGATTCTGCAGCTATCATTAATTCCTTTAAAATTACGTAAATTTTTTATAAAAAAAATATAGTTGCAATTTATATCAGCAAATTAATTGAACAAAAATTAATTATAGGTTATTAATAGAGAGAGAGAAAAGAATCGAGCAGTGGAAACCTGTACATACCTGTATTACGTTATTTGTAGGTTTATCTATAGTCCATTATTATCTTTGGAATTTGAATTAAACAGTTTTAACTATAGCTGACGACTGATTTAGTTTTTATAAATGGCCATAAATTTCTAGAATCTATTAGATATATATTTTATTGTGTAGAAATTTAGAATCTATCACATTTATTGTAATTGTGTTTTCGCGACAATACTTTGTGTTAAATGTAGGGATGGAATATTGGAATGGATGGATTACACAAAGTTGGACGGAAATGTGATGTTATCTTGAATGAAAATACAGCAAGTATTTTCGTTTAACCAAAAACAAATAGGCCATCACTTCATTTAAATCGTAGGCCATAAATACTGAAACAACACATATACACTTAAGTTGCAATATGTATGGCTCAACTATAATGTAGGTCAAATATATTTGGAATTCGAAAGAAGGAAACAAAATAAGATTATTAATAGTAAGCTATACATAAATTAGAGTTTTTAAAATTTTTAGAGATAGGTAACATTGAGCTTTCATGCACTCACCATTATTTCACAGAAAAAAAACTAAATCGACTTAAATCAGTCTACGTGAATGTAGACTTATTAAGAAAATTGTATTCCAAACTTTCTTGAGTTCTTGAGCAAAATAAAATATCGAACGAAAATTCTATTAAGGTTAATTATCACGGTTTGCCCTAAAATTTCGAAAAAGTTAAGTAAAGCTACCTATCTCTAACTAAATAACAGTAAAATGATATGATTTTAATATTCCTGAAATATTACTCGTTTTATTTCAAAAAATGCCAAATTGAAAATAATGATATGTAATTTTATTGTTAGTGTTTAGTATACATATTTAGATATGTTTTAAATTATTTATGTTAACTAAAAATGTACTGATTTCTTATGACTTATACGAAGCTAAAAAAAATTGACAATATTAAAAATCGTATTACAGTTAGGAATCATTTCGCCTCTTACAAATTAATTACGTATAGATTCTACAACTACTTGTCAACTTTACTTTCTAAGTAAATAGATTAATAAACGTTGAAAGTAACGAAGGTACGTATACCTACTATAGACTAGACATATAAATTTGCAGTATGAAAGTTAATGTAGGTATTGATCTATACGTGGGTAACACTGAAAATGTTTAGAATTGGCCAGTTAGAAACATTCGTCATAGTCGTAGAATAGTGACGGATCTGACAAATAGTAAACTTTACAGGGCAGCCCATTTCAAAATAATTTTTTAATACAGTTGCTCAAAAAGTGGCGTATTGCAGGGACGAATAGCGTTCGGGATGTGGGCTATTACACACTCGTGCTTTTTTTTTACCTTTTCCGAACTAGTGCGTTTTCTTTCCCAACTGTCAAAATAATGTCTATTAAAAAGAAAAAACCAACCACGAAGTTTTTACTAAAAAAAATTCATAGAAATTTTTATGATTCATGCAAATATTTATAAAAAGAAGCTACAGCTAATATTAATGATTTGATTCAATGAGTTAGGTTAGATTTCATTTCATCTCATTAAATTTCATTTCATATCAATAAAAAATTGTACTGAAGACTTGGCTGTATGGGCATAGTTCCCTTTGCCTACCCAGAATGGGTGAAGAAAAAAAAATATCTGCTTATATTCTTTTACGGTTGGCGCCATTTTCCATAAATGTTCTTTGCGCGTTTAGTTGTTTGTTATATTATATATTAAATATACATGAACAATCATACGAAATTAATAATAGTTTGTCTCAAACAGTCAATAAATATGCAACCTAAAACTTCTCTTTTTTTAGGTTAGTATAAAAAACTGTACCAATGTATATGTGAACAATAATTTGTATAAGAAATAAATGATTAGTTAGTTGAGTTTATTGTGTTTTTATTATTTTATTAAATTGCATAATTTTTTCGCAACTGTATTAAAAATAGTTGTTCAGTACACGTGCGGAACCGTCATTGCAACTTGTTCCGACTGTCAACCCTCACCTTCGGCTGCGCCTCGGCTCGGGTAGACATTTGTCGAAACTCTTTGCAATGACAGGCTTTCCGCACTTGTAATGAAATATACTATAAACATGTTAGATTTTTGTCATAACTTTTTTAAACTTTATATTCTGTAATTATGAAAATTAGCATACAAGCAAACAATAGGGTTTCTTTTAAAAACAAATAAAAATAATAAAATTAAATAACACAGTTTTCTAGAAAAATCAATGAGCGTCTATCAAATGCGTCACTTTACTGACTGATTAATTTGAAATTTAAAACACCTGGATTTTTTTTTAAATGTAGCCGTAATATTTAGTCAATGTAGTATCCAAATATGATAAAAAGTGGATTTTGGTTTTTTTTCAAATCCGACATTGTTCTACGATCATGACGCATTGCTAATAAAAACTTTTTTTGCATTTAAATTTTAGAACTCTTTGGTAACCTAATTTAGTATATTGCATTCATTTGTCATTTGTTTTTGTGAATTGGCGGCAAATCTAAAACTCTTGTTACACGTGAAAATAAACCTAACGCTAGAATTTTCGGTCAATGATTTATTATGACTTTTGTTGTAGGCTTAATCGACAACAAAGCTATGATAGGCTGCGATTAGCATTTCTTAATGATACCCCATCTCGTACCACTATTTACAATACAATGGTTTAAGCGTGGACGTGGCAATCTCAATGATGATCCGCGTGAGGGACGTCCTTTAACAGCGACTACTGAAGATAACATCAGTGCTGTGCGACGCATGATACAGGAAGATAAGAGAGTGACTTATCGGCAGATACGGGCAAGCCTAGGCATTGGTATGAGTCAAGTTCAAAAACGGACTGTTGAATATGTGACTAGTGCAGGTGTCGAGATAATGAGTCATGCGCCATACAGTCCTGACCTGGGACCCTGCGACTTTCATTTATTCCCAAGAACTAAAGATGAAATTTGAGGTATTCGCTTTACGAGCCCTGAAGATGCGGTGAAAGTGTACGAAAATGCCATAGAAGAGACCCCTAAGGATGAATGGGCCCACTGCTTTTCTCAGTGGTTCCATCGAATGCGACGATGTGTAGAGAGGAACGGAGATTACATCGAAAAACAATAAAAGTATTGGCAAATTTCTACATTAAGCTGTTTTTCATTTTCTAAACATTTTCAGTGTTACCTAGGTAACTATAATTGCTTCTAAAGTAGGGTCAATGTGACTTACAAAATTAATGATAGTAGTAACTTATCTCTATCACATAAGTTAAACATTAAGCTCTGAGAATAATTCTTATTCAATTGAACTATAAATAAACTATTTGGATATATAAATTTATACCTCCTTTAGCACCTTATTCATGATTCTAACTTCATCAGATTCCACCCCTCTCTGTTTCGATGACGGCTTTCTATCAGCAAATTGAAGGAGATCCTCCACTGAAACGTGATCTGAAGAATGTTTTTATTAATTAATATTATTTTGATATTATAGGGACGAACGCTTGCAGGTGATTCGAAACAATACTACCGCATGGACATGTAGGATTTGGTAATAATAATATAATAATAAAGCTCGTTTTATTTGCAATCATGACAAAAACAAATTATAATACAAAACAGAAGTGGCAATGCTCATGTTAATTCGCCGCTCTACCTCAAGTTCTTCATTTTTATCTTCGAATGATAATTGTTTACCAAGGTATATGTAGTTTTTTACATATTCCAGAGGCTTTCTGTTAAGGTATACTGTAGTGTTTGTAGCAACTGCGCAGTTTGTCATTATTTTAGTTTTGTGGTCGTTTCAAGGCCTACTTTTTCACTTTCTTCGTTTAAGGTAATCATCATCTGTTCTAGTTCCTTACTTGTTTCAGCGACTAAGACAGACAGATGTAGGCCTTTGATAGCATAATAAAAAATATGTATACAACATATGGAACAGTTTCCCAGCGGTTTATTGATAATCAATTTACAGGATTTTCGTTTGAATATATATTTCATAATTATAATACGATACAATCTATTGAGTTTAAAAAATTCCTACGTTTTAAAAACAGCAATAATGATGCGAATTTAATAGGACATATAAATTACATTGTCGTAATCCGTGATACATATATTTTATGATATACATGCTACTTAACAGTTAAATTACATTTGTAGCAGTGAAACGATTTCTTAATTGGCTCCGTGTTTTGAAGTTTAAAATTTTTAACGTAGACGTATAGTTCAATATTGCTGTAGTGTATAAAAGGTATTTTAGTAGGGTTAGAATCTTGAAATATTTGGAATTTTAAATATATTATAGTTGCGACCTTTTTAATAGTTCCGGTGGTAATTATACATGCAAAATTGTGTCTAAACTAAAATTGCCGCTAAAGGAATCTTATCATAATAAGATTATACTAAGGCTCATTTTCAAAACGTATCAATCGATATCTTGCCAGTAAAAACTATTTTTATTAGACCAGGGGGCAAACGGCCAAGAAGCTCACCTTATGGAAAGTAATGCCGCCGCACCGTACACTAAATGCCAGAAGGCTCGCGAGTGCGTTGCCGGCCTTTTAAGAATAGGTGTGCTCTTTTCTGAAAGACCCTAAGTCGAATTGTTTCTGATATACTTTAGTGGGCAGCTGGTTCCACATAGTGATGATGTGCGGCATAATCTGCCTTAAAAATGGCTGTTGTGCAATAGCGGGCATCGACGGGTGGAATTGAGGAAGAATGGTTTGATAGATAAAAATGCATTTTAGTTCTGGAATACCAAGGATTTCTTTCGTTTTTTCTTAATGTCACTTAAATTTGTTTTTAATATTGGTTATTTAATCGATTCTTTTACATTTTTAAATAACTTTCATGGATTGACATCGGAAATAATAATTATCGCTAATAATATTACTAATTTGTATGGGTCCACTGAAAATCACTGATGTTGTTGGAAACAGAAACTTGATGCTGAGTTTCCATTTTTGATTAAGTTTTTTATTTTTTTGTGTATTTAGCTTTAATCAAAAATTTATATTTCTCTTTCTTTTTAGGCCAACCGTTTCGAAGTAAGTATAAAATAGAGCGTCTATAACAGGACAATTTGAGTTTAGACATTAAGTTAGTGTATTAGGATCAAACTTACCTTTATGATTAGTCCTCTCGCCGCCAGAAGAACCACCTTTAAGGAATACTTCTTCGAATATAGGATCTTCCCCCTCATCCGTTACGGCGTCATAGTTACTTAAATAGCACATGAAAGGATTTTTTGATAAATCCGGCAACTCAATAGTGTCTGCACACGACGGATAGAATGGGTTGGTTGCTGGGTCCATTATGGAGGGGTTGTTGCGTACTGGGCCCTCCGAGTATTCGTTCTTAATTACAGTACAAATGTTTTGGTAGGTATTTACGGGGGCTTGTCTTGGCCTAGATGCAAGCGGAGAAGGTTGTGGCTCACAGCAAATTGGGAAGCGAAGTGGGTGCTTTCGCACGTGTCGTGGCTTGTCAACTAGTTTTGGTTTGGTGGTCCGTGGAGGCAGAGGGATTTCGTTGCCCTGGAATTGTTTTTAATACTTTAAGTTAAAATTGTAATTGTAAATGGTATCAAACTGTAATTACTGTCGGCTAACACTTACATCATTGCAGAGCGTGTCATCGATAGTGTGGTTAATGATCACCCTGAAACGTAAATAAATTATTATACAGCTTGTTATAACTGTATGAAGATTCCTTATTTTTAATGCTTTGTTCTTTAAGTACGGATCTCATCTATTGACTCTACTCTAGAAAGAGAATTCAGAACAGATTTAGTTGTAACTATAACATATTTGAGTACTTGGTTGACTGTTTTTGGCTCCATATAATATGGCGGTATGTTTTACTTATGCGTTTTTTTACTAAACCAAAGTACCTAGTCTATATATCAGTCGGATATATATGTAGGTAAAAAATGCTACTCACTCGCTCGATGTCGATGGCAAGGAGTTAAAAATAACTCTTGGCGATTGGTTTCGCGTCTCCTTGGGAATCGTTGAAGTAGATGGATTTTCTTGGGGCAATTGGATGGTAGAAATTGCTGAGGTGGGCCCTTCAACTAGGCTAGCATACACCATCCTTGATTCTTCAGTTATCGTTTCCTACCAAACAAGTATTGTTAAAATACAATATTATATCACTTACAAAGAAAATAAGAATATTTCTCTCGGACAAGACATTGGTCTGCCAAATAGGCAAAGTGTGTCCTCAAGCAATAAATACGTAAAAATTCGAGTGTTACCTGAATGTTTGGAACGCTATTGGCTTCCTCGCTGAAATTGCGTTTCCCTGATGAAATATAAAACAAATTAGTACCGGTAAAATAATCGTACCAAACACGGACGTGATTTTTATATTTGGAAGACATGAAGAAAATAGGCATTCTAGATGACGAAAAATATATATCACGACAGCGTTTGGTACTTCGACGAAACAAGACATTACTACCTTTAGCACAAGCGATAGTTGAAAGCGGTCTACACACCAAAGCCGCTGACCCGGCGGCACGGATCGCCGGCCCAACCCGCCGGTCTTATTTTATACAATCATGCCGCCGGCTTGCAGCAGGCAGCATGCCGATGCCGACGGCATCCCGAAACACACACGTCCAATCTCTACGACTATTTGGCAATTACTAGAACACCACATGCCGCGGCTGTCGTGCCGCCGGCAAAGTCGTTCGGCTTGGACATTCTGAAGCCGCCGGGTTAACCCGCCGGCACTAAGCCGCCGGGCTGTGCCGCCGGGTCAGCGGCTTTGGTGTGTAGACCGCTGAAATGTATACATCAAGATAGATTTGCCATAGGAATAATAGCTGCACACCTACAAGATTTAACTTATTATTTATGCTAAGGATGCAGCAGTCAAGGCCGATATTTCAGAACGAATCGCAAACCTTTTAAGGATTGACAAAATGGTCTAAGATCACAGAAAATTAACGTTCCGAAATATGCCATTCTGGTCGTACACACTGTGTTAGCATAACATATTTGAAGATTGACTAAGACGGTCAATCTTTAAAGCGATCTTCTATCAGTCAATATTCATAAACATATCATAAATTTAAAATATTCACGAGCTATATGAAGGGTGTATGAATAGAAGAATCAATGAAATGTCCAATGTGTACAACCAGGTAAGTTACTTCCTATCCAGACACATAGATTATTATTAAGGGTGACATTCATTATATACATTTAAAGTAAAAGCAAACATTTAAAAATATATGGCAGTTTATAACAAAGTAATCAATGCAGAAAAAGTTTTACGAAGTTTTACTACACGATAAATTCTCTCAAGATTTAATCTAATTAAGCAAAACTAACACGACAATTGTATACTACCACTACAGTATTTATTTTTGTTTTATTTCAATTTAATCGACATTTATCTTGTATATAAAGCCTCTGGTACCTCTTATGTAAAATATAATCACATTTATGAACTTTATATACATCATCATGAACTTTATATACATCATTATGAACGGACTGGTTGGCTTTTACCTCAAAAGACGTTTAATACAAATATTTACATGTGTTCAGCTTAGAGGGGCTCGGAAGAACTAGTCTTAAAGGTAAGGAACTAAAGTAGGTATACCATAACAATTAACGGATAACGACACGATCACTCTGAGCCTACTATTGCTCTTTAGCCATCCCTAGTTCCTAAAAAGTATCTACAAAGTTCGTTGTCAGAGGCTAATCAGCAGGCTAGGCTTTTCTCATACTTCCATTCCAACACTTGTTGCTTTACGTCAATTTGACATCATTTATTAAATGGTGTGAGTAAAGCCTATCAGTATTTATAGGATAGGGTACAAGAAAACATCAATCACAAGAAGTATAAAGCACAGCGCAAATACCATGAGCTCTGATAGGAAGAACATTCAATTCTTGTAAATCATATGTAAGATGCATTTTACAATGCACAGAATCATATCAGCGCTCACGGTAACCTAAGAAATACTAGTCCGCTAGACCAACTAATAATTTAACTAGTAATTTACAGTTCTTCCACACGACAATATGAAGACAGGCTAACAACATTAATTGCCAATTATATTAAACTTAATGAACTTAAAAGGATCGCTCAAATAATAAACAATGCTCTATAATTTTTATATTAATTTGCGTCATTATTTAACGCTTATTTACCATGAATTCCACAAAATTGACTGGGTTTCATATTTTGACAACAAGGCTAAAATAAAACCACACGCACAAAGAGATAACTTAAAAAAGCAAATCTAAGCTGTATTGGGTTAAAACAAAACAAAACCAATTATTTAAGCAAACAGTAATAAAAAATGTATTGTTATTTACGCGGGAAACAGCAGAACCAGGATATTTCCTGAGGTTCTCTGTTGGGAAAAGAAAAACCATTATCTATATGAGGGAAATAAATTCAATTACAAAGAATAACCATTTCAAAAGTTAAGAGGCGGGCCAGGTATCTGTAACAAAGGTGAAGAATATGTATTGTATATTCATTTATGCCACCAAATTTTACCACCGCTAAAACCTGGGGAAGATGGGAAAAATTACTATAATTCGATTGAGCACGTTCACATGTATTGTTACATAATTTTATGTTTACAAATATAAAGATTTATTAACATGTTTTTGATATAACATGCATCTTATATACACCTTATTAATTGCCCATTATTAATTTTACATTCAAAACCTTTACCACATATCTCCTTTTCACCTTCGTGATGGTTATTATGATGAAGTGAAACTAGAGGAAATTTAAAATGAAACTTTAGTCGTTCACTCGGCGACGTCGGCAATTTTGTTTCGTCCAAACCCGTCATTGATCTGAAATTACATGAAAAGATGTAATCATTTTATTTAAAGTTATTATATATAAAAAGTCATATAAAGACTTACTTAGAAGTAATTTCGTTTGCTAAGGCGACCGCCGTATCCAACGTTCTTGTGTCATGAGCGGACATAAGTTTCATTGTCGCTGTGTGGAATGATTTTTTTTTTCTCTGTCTTGTTCAATGTATGTGCTCTGCTACAGAAAATATACATTTTACTCTAAATATCACACATTATCAACAATTTGTTATAAGAACTGTACATACCTAATAGCTGCGTCTATTTCATGGTGAAGGTTGATCTGCAAGCAGTCGATATATTTTAGTATGTTTAGTTACACCTTGGAACAAAGTCTAAATTACCTACTACTACGACTACCAATAACAGCAATAAACATAAGTTAAGCTTAACACAAATATACACACAAAGCCTACAAATGAAAAGCAATTCTAAGATTATTTCGGAAATTTACAATAACGAAAAAAATATAATTTAAGGATATTATCACTTACTAACAAAAAAGGAAGAAAAATAGTCAAAGTTTAAATATAATATGAACTGTAGCAAATGGACCTGGACCCATATAGAGACAAATCGTCATCATAGCTCTGAAAATTATCATAAAATATATTCAAAACAAGATGGTACAATACTAGTAGTAACTGATTTCGCAGCAACATTTTAAAATCAGTTGAGTTGCTCAGTTTTATAAGCGTTAACATATATATATGTTATACTGGAAAACCAACCCCTAGATTATTTTTTTCGCTCTAATCCCCTGCTATAGTGTCCAGGGACTTTTTTTCCATCTCTTTTAGTTTCTTATCTACTAAAATGATAGGTGAACATAAAATAAAATAATAAATTCATTTGTGTTGCGCGTCTCGCGATATACATTACATGGGCTCACTTATAATCTTGTAAGAGAGGTGTGAGGGGTCGGTAATAAATAAAAAAAACAAGTTTATGAACAATAAACTTACTTCATTGCGACGTCTGTCATCTAAATTTCGAAACATAGACTCCATTTCGTCAAGTAAGCTTTTACTAAAGTCCGTGGAAGCTTTCTGAAAATTATCGACAGTAATAATTAAGAATTTTAATTATTTTTAAATATACATTTCATTTATTTACTTATTTATTTATTTACAGCCTTATATCAGAAATACAAAATATATACATTATAACTGTTATTTTTCTTAATCTACGATAACTGATTCTGTGTGCCTACGGGCAAAGGCCTCCCCCATTGTCCTCCATTTTTCCTTATTGTACACCAATCTCGTCCAGGTCTTAGTCTTTCCTGCCATTTCCATGATTTCATCGGCCCACCTTTTAAATTGCCTACCTCTGTTTCTTTTATGGGCTCTTGGTTGCCATAGTGTTACAATTGCTCCATTTATCTGCTCCTCTTATGGTATGTCCAGCCCATTTCCATTTTAGTACTTTTGTTTTATACACAACGTCAGCAAACCCTGTTTTATTTCTTAATTTCTTGTTACTAATTTTATCAATTCTTCTTTTCCTAGTTATGCTTCTTTCCATGGTTCTGTGGGTTACACTTAATCTTTCACATTGTGCTTTGGTAAGTGCCCATGTTTGACAGCCGTATGTAAGAATTGGTAGGATGCATATGTTGAAAAGTTTTCTCTTGATGTGCATGCTTGTTTGACTATTTTTCATAAGTTCTTTTGGGGACCAATATCTCTTCCATGCATTTCCAATTCTTCTGTCTATTTCCTTTGTAGTTGAATCATGGTTGGATATCAGTTGACCTAAATAAAGATATTCTGATACATAATCTATTGTGTTGTTATCTATTTTTATTACTCTGTCATTCCTGCCATTGGTCATGGCTTTAGTTTTTTGGATGTTCATTAAGAGTCCAACTTCTTTACTAGCTGTATTCAGTTCTATGAGCATATTTTGTAATTCTTCTGCCGTATTTGCAAATACCACTATGTCGTCCGCGAATCTCAGATGGGTCAGTTTCTCGCTATTTATATTTAAGCCATATTCTGTCCAATCTAACTTTCGGAATATTTCCTCTAGAACAGCTGTAAACAGTTTGGGCGATAGAGGGTCGCCCTGTCTTACTCCTCTAAGGATATTTATGTCGCAGCCTTCCTTTTCCATTTTGATCTTTGCTGTGGTACCTGTGAAGATGTTATTAATTATCCTTATGTATTTGTGCTCCACACCCTGCTTTCGCAAAGCTTCCCAAATTTTTGAGTGGTCCAGTGAATCAAATGCCTTGCAGTAGTCTACAAAGCAACAGTAAAATTGGATGTCATATTCTTTGCACTTTTCAGCTATCTGTCTAGCATGTGAACGTGCATGTGATCCACTGTCGAGTAATTGTTTCTGAAGCCTGCCTGCTCCCTGGGTTGATTTTCGTCCAAAGTTTTACTGATACGGCTTAAAATAATTTTTGGAAATACTTTATATAAGTTGGACATTAGGCTTATGGGCCTATAATTGCCAATGTCATCTCTGTTACCTTTTTTATGCAGTAGTTTAATAGACGATACAGTCCACTGTTTTGGAATACTTTCCGTTTCCAGGATAGTATTGAAGAGTTTAGTCAGGAATGGTGTAATTATATACCTTGTTTCAAGTAGCACTTCATTTGCAATATTATCAGGACCTTGTGCTTTGTCTCTCTTCAGTGCGCTGATTGCTTTTTCGACTTCGCGTTTCATAATGGATGGTACTTTATCTGAGTCAAGTAGTTCAATGTGTTCAATTGTTGATCTTTTTGAGTACAGTTCTCTGTAATAATCTGTAGCAATACTTATAATATCTGGTCTTTTAGTTTTGTCTTTACCAGATAAATCTTTAAATTTAGGTATCCATTGCACCTTTTCTTGTAGTAGTTTTATGGCTTTTTTAGTTCCTCCAGTTTTTGCAATTAGGTTTTTCAAAGTTCGTAGTCTATATAATTTCCTGTCTTTTCGCATACTCATTCTTAGATCTTTGCTAAGTTGAGCAATGACTCTCATAACTTCCTACTGTTTTAGGGGGAGTTTGTATAATTTTTTCCCTTTTTTCCATTATTCGTTTTGTCTTTTCCGACAGTATATCTTTTCCTTTTCCATGTACTTCTTTTTTCGTACTAAATTTACTCAGAATATCTGAGAATTTGCTGTAGATTTTCAGTGTATTCAGCTCTGATAGATCTTCTTCTATGTTCTTCAATTCTACTTCCAGTTGTTTGGCTGTTAGTTGTGGTCCATTATTTTTCGTTGTTTCTATTTGGTGGTTAGGAAATTTCCTAGTACATTTTATTGCTGTAGATTTAAGCTGGGTTCGCACCATTCGATGGTTAGTGTTAAAATTTAAATTTGAAATGACTTGACAATCTTCAAATGATCTGGCACTATTGGTAAGTATAATATAGTCAATCTCATGTTTATAGCGCCCGTCAGGGGATGACCATGTCCATCTTCTGTTTTGTTTTTTCTTGTATAGTGAATTTAAAATGACTAAGTGTTGTTCGAAAGCTAAATCTATTAGTTTCTGTCCATTTCTTGATCTTTTTCCTTGGTAGTGAGGTCCCATTATGATTTCTTCGCCGTCTTTCCTAGTCCCTATTTGAGCATTAAAATCTCCCATCAGGATTAAATTTGTTGAACCTAATTCGGTTAAAGTGTTGTTTAGTTTTTTTATAGAAGGATTCAATGGTGCTGTCAGAAGATTGCTCTGTAGGCGAGTATACTTGTACTATGGTCCATTCCTTTTTAAATAAAGGTAGCATGATTTTTAGGACTGCTATACGCTCTGAAACCCCTTGAAATTCAAGGATATTGTTTTTTAATTCTTTATGTATCATGAAACCGACGCCATATTGTCCTGGTGTCTCTCCCTTAGAACATAGAACAAAATCGCCATAGTCTTTTATTTTGTCGCCCATGCGCCTAACTTCACTGATTCCTATTATACTCCACTTTATGCTCTCCAGTGCCATTGTCAATTCTAGCAGACTATCGTCTGTTCTCAGTGTGCGTACATTAAAGGTTGCTATATAAATCTGGTTCTTTTGTTGGTATTCTTTTGGGGGGGTGTGGTCTAATTCCCCACGGGGACCAGCCGGGTTGGGGAATGCTTCCTTTGTTTGATTTTGTTTATTTGTTAGATTTTGTTTATTTGTTTGATTTTGTCTATTTGTTTGATTTTGTTGTATAAATATTGTTGTTATTTTTGTTTTGATTTTCTATTGTTGGGTTGGGTCTCCTGTTGTTGTCGGTGTCTGTTGAGCGTTTTTTGATGCTGAAGGTGAAGGTAGTGACAGTGATCTACCACGTGCTACGTAGTCTAGCATGCAAGTTTTATTAATCTTCTTTGGGCCCGCAGTACGTGTGTAAGTTGGAGATTTGCTTGGGGAGTTAGTGGAGTCTCTTTTAAATATACATACTACACGAAAATTATTACGTATTAAATATTTTTACAATTTATTATCAAAGTTATTTACCATAATAACTGCGTCTGGTGAAGGTATATCAGCTTTCGCATTATCTGTAGCCGTGCTTTCCTGTAAATTAATTGCTATACCCTATTATTTATAGAAATTAAATCAGTCTTATTACACTGTTTATACGTAAGCCGTTGTCATATTTTTGTATACCATATTATATTAATTTTACGTATAGTACACTTAATAACCAGGGCCAGATATAGAGGTCTGGAGGCCTCGGGGCAATAAAGGAGTGGAGGCCCCCTGGCCAAATTATTTTCCTAATGAACAATTTTTTTCAGTCAATTCTTTAAGTATTTAACAAATATATAAAAATATGTCAAAAGAAAAATTGTTTACTAGTGTAACCTAATCGGAATTTAAAACTTTTTAATCCGAAGTCTCTATTGTGAGGGCTCCTCCTTTGTGGAGGCCTCGGGGCCGTAGCCCTTCCAAACACCTGGCCCTGTTTAAAACGTGTATGACTAAACAAATTATATTCCAACAATGTGTGTTCATATAGTTCCAAAACGCTTACGCCAAGCCACTTAGATTCTTTATAGAGCGAGCTTAAACAGTGTAATAGCGACTTTGTTTTTAGAACAGAGTGCATCAATAGCTATCATAGGCATAACTATAACAAAAAATTAAAATAAAGAAGCATATCTTGATGCAACGTAAGAGAAAATAAAATTATTTTTTTTTGCCAAGGCTAAATAAAAGAAAACACCAATATTAATTCATCACTAATTACCTTATACATCTCGACGAGAACACAAAATATGCTTCTGATATGTCGAATTATTTAAAAGTTAAGTCAGCCGCATTGAAAGCCGCGTTGTGTGACGCCAAGTTAAGAATTTATGAAAACGTAAAACTGTAAGCCATAATTGAAGATCTACCCTTTGTTATCCTGCACCCGCCTCTTATTAAATTTTAAATTACTTTGACTGATTAAGGGAGCGTTCAAGTATTACGTCACGTAACTTTTGGAGATAATTGCACTTTTCTAAGTATAGTAAAACGTTTCGTGACCACCTAGTAACACTTCAACCTAAAAGCTACCATTATGTGGTGTAAAGTACTGCAAAGTCGATTCAATCTATGCCCCGCATCTTAACGTTTTACAAAAATAACCCCCCCCCCCCTCTTCCAAAATTTGTTACGTAATACTTGAACGCTCCCTAATAAGAAATTATTAAAATAAATAAAATACATACGGTGTCTGTGTCGGAGATTTCATGGTACTCGTGGGTTTCTGCGGATCTTCCTTGGATTCCATCTTCAGTTTTATGTGAGCGCCCGAGGGTCGCCGACTTTACCTTAAATATTTTATTTATAGTAAGGACTGATTGACCATAACATAATATTTTTATAGGATAGGAGGGCATAGGAGCCTAACAGACGCCCCTATAGGGCAGTAATGACAGACCCATGGACACCCATTTTTAAAGGATCTCTTTCTGAAGATTTTTCTCTAAATTTTTTTAAGTATCGTTAATTGGAAACGCTTTTACAGCCTTTTGACATAATTTTTTGATAAAATGAAAAGAACAAAGTAATTAAGCAAAAAAGGATTTTTTTTCACTTTTTTACTTATGACTTTTGCATTTTGGCTTTATGATAAAAAGTCACACAGACATAATTGTAGGCAAAACGATTTGCTATATGTCTTCACAATTTTTTTGTGCGATGGATAGTTCCTATAGTAGTACCTAGGAGATATAGCCAAAAACGTGTTTTCACCTCTTTTTCCAAAATGGCGGTCGGGGGGACAAGGGCGCCAACCCCACAAACTTGTATTGACCCCCCCCCCTACATATTCTATAAATAAAATTGCATATTCTAACAAATGTTCAGTTTGGCCCTCAAAATGTAACATTTCAATGGACAGACGTATGTTATGTAAAGTCATGAAAGAATTTCAGTTATGTTAAAATAAACTTTAAAATTTCCTCAAATTGTGGTTTACTTTATATTAAGCGTTCTTAATTATTTAACCAATACATATTTACTTTCTATATTTTACGCTTTGCACTACTTTTCATACTAGACGAACTATTTTGCATCGGGGCTCGTATGTTTTTCATTAATTTTTATAAAAATAATCTGCTTCAGCTTTTAAAATTAACTCACTTTAAAAATTACATTAATTCTTATTTTATAAACAACTCTGACATTATTGCCTCTTCAACGCAACGCTTATTAAATATTAGTCTTACCTTACTCAGAAGACTCTTGCTTGTCGTCGGTTCTAGGACTGATTTCAAATGACCCTTCTTGATCGGCTTCTGTTTCGAATCAACGCCTGAAATAGAAATATAAATAGGAGCCCATTTATTAGCAAAACACAGAGATTTTCAAAACACTTAACGGCCCTTACAGCCTGGCCACGGGACATTCGCTGATGCGAATATTCGCGTGGTGCGAACGGCGAAGCGTCTAGCGACTGAAATTAACTCATAGCAATGTACTTATCAAGCCACGCGCAACGGCGCGGCGACCGGCGAATTGTACCGAGCGAACCGCGCGGGCGACTGGCGTCGCGACGGGCGAGCGAAACAAAGGCATGAATCAGTACGGCGCAAGCCACGGAGTCGAGCGGCAGTCACGGCGAATAGAGCAGGGATTAAATAACTTTAGTCGTTTTCGCGGCGAAAAATGAATACAGAGTTTTTATTATTGAAATACTGGCAAGACCAGCTATTTGGAAGTCTGGCCATCCACAGCATAAATTTAATATACCTTAATGTCATAAACAACTTTTTAGCGGCACTTAAAATTCTATTTGCATTAACTTTTTTCTCCAATTCTGGTTGAATATTCATAAGAATATAATCGAAGGTTTCAATACTCATTCTGGTATACTCAAAAAAAAATTCTGGATATATTCTGTATTTCTTACACTTCTTGTGGAATTCTCCATCTATATCTTCGATTCGGAAACTTATTTAAATCATGTACTCCACAATCTCTTCCAAATAATAGGTCTTGAACCAAAAGCTATTACTTTCCAAGCAATATCGAGATGATTTCGATAAAGACATTTCGCTGTCGAACTTCCTTACTGGTCGCACCGCCGATCCCCGTGGCCAGGCCGCGGCGGCCTTTCGAGAACATAATCGTCAGCTTTGCCGATAAGTACCCAATTATTTTTAAGATGAAAGGAATTTTTTTATTATTAAAGTTAATAATTAGCCAGAATTCCTTAGGGAATACTTGAATTTTGTTTGCTTCAGTTTAATAAAATACAAAATCTGATTTATTTACTTCGTAATACATATTTACTCTAATTTTTCGTACTGGAAATGAGAGTATTGCCATATCTCATTATTTAATGATCCTCGTTAATTATTATAAATTCGGCCTTCAGTATATTTCCCACTTAAATAGCAAAAGGTATTATTTTTTTATAGAACAGGGGGCAAACGGGCAGGAGGCTCTTCTGATGTTAAGTGGTATCGCCGACCATAGACATTCTCAATACCAGAGGGCTCGCGAGTGCGTTGCCGGCCTTTTAAGAACTTGTAAGCTCTTTTCTTGAAGGACCCTAAGTCGAATTGTTTCGGAAATACTTCGGTGGGCAGCTGGTTCCACAAAGTGGTGGAGCGCGGCAAAAACTGCTTTGAAAAACGCTCAGTTGTGGAACAGCGGACGTCGAGGTGATACGGGTTGAATTTCGTATTCTGCTTGACGTCCGATGATGAAACTCAGCTGCAGGTATTAATCCGAACAACTCCTTTGAACACTCTCCATGGTAAATGAGGTAGAAGGTGCAGAGTGACCCCACATCTCTACGCAACGCCAAAGGATCAAGCCGCTCGGAGAGGGATTGGTCGTCGACGATTCAAGCTCCGTCGATGACGATCTTGATGCTCCGATCGGCCAGAAAGCTGGAAATCCAGTCGCATAATTTCTCGGGAAGCCCGTAGGCTGGAAGTTTCTGGAGGCTAGTTATATTCTTTTTTTAAGTTCGCTGGTATTGGCATCACGAGTTTTCACCGCTTTCGGCCATGCCTTAATGCATTCTCGCTTTCGACGCGAGGCCGCGTTGCAAGAACGTTTAAACCAGGGCTAAGACTTGCCACCGATCGGCACCGCAGAAAATGGAATAAAGAGTTCAATGCCCTGCAGAACCACTTCGGCGACAGAGGCAGCGACGTAATCTGGAGCTTCCAACGAAAAGGACATAAGCCTCACAAGGGCAGGACGCAAAGAAAGACCGCCGACAACCCAAAAAGCGGGGCCGTGAAGGGCGCGTAGTAGGCACAGTACTCCGGACCACACAATGATCCGATGAACCCAATGGCGGGTCAACAGAGACTTGGTAGTTCTCCGGATGTGAAGTCAGCAGAAGGTCCAACAAAGAGGGTTTACGACCATCCACATCTGGCATTCGCGTAATCGCAGAGACCATTTGTGTCAGGTCGTAAGCTAAAGCAAAGTCGTGAAAGGATCTTCACGCGTGATCGGTGGTTTCAGAGCCAAGCCAATCGGCATGGTGGGCGTTAAAATCGCCAAGTATCACGATTTCAGCGGTAGGAACCACTTCAGTGGGCAGCTGGTTTTAATGTTGGTTCATATGCTGCTCTAGTCTAGTACCTGGGCTACGTGTTGCACCATAACCACCGCCTTCACTAGGTACCACCTTCTTCAATTAATTATAACGAGTAAAATTCTGAGTGGACGGGTTTTGTTGCATCTGGCACAGCATAAGACACGCTTCACGAGACTGACGGCAAATCTCCAGTAATAGAAAGGCACAAAAAGAAGAAACATATTGCTCTCTAACAGCAATACTGATTTCATTGATTGACTCTTTTAATTATTTAATATTTGTTAACCCTCAAATGACAGGATCTAAATGACAAAATTCTCTCAAATTCCATAGTGAGAAGTTTTTAGAATTAGGTAAGTATATTACAATTTCAATCGCCATCAGAATAGTGGTACTATTCACTTAAGCAAATAGGCGTGTTAAAAGATTGTTTACTTTGATTCCTTTTCATACACGATCGTATGCAAATCTGAGCATATTATGTTAACATCACTTCCAAGGTGACAAAAAACTATATAATAAAACATCCTTACACTACAGGAGTAGAGGGTGAGATGTTCCAACTAATATCCCAGAAAAGGAATCAAGTATTAAAAGAAGAGAGATCTCCGTAAAAAAGCAAGGCTGGAGCGCATACAATTCTGCCCTTAACTGAGCTGGTATTATTAATGGGTTCCTAATATGGGTTGTAAGAATCCCAGAATAGCAATAAGATTCATTTTGTCTCAAATAACGTTCTCTTCATAATTTTTTTATATCGAAAACAGATATCGTAAAGCCAAGGGTAGCCAAAATTTTAATAAATCGCCCACTCAATGTTCAATGTTCGTCCAATACAAGAAAAAACGTCTGTCCTAATATAATAGACATGTAGAGACATTACCTAGACATACACGAGTCTTGTTCGCAATTGTGTTGAAGCTCTGAACAATGAGGACAATATCTAATGCACGACGCACATAGATTCCCAGAAATGTATAACTGTAACTGACATTAGTCTTCAATGTCTGAGTGTGAAAAATCAATACTGAATTGCGACTGATGCTTATTCCGGCATCCGATTTTAAAATATTTTTATGAGAAAAATGAATATTCTAGTAAACTTTCACACTCGCTGATTAAATTTCAAAATGCAACAACTCCGCTGTTATTAAATCGTATTTAACATTTTACGTGACCATAACTATATTTTTTTAAATTGTAATTTTGATTGAAACTACTACGGAAACCAAATCACAGCAAATTAATCAAATTCGTTTATCCGAGTTCGCTATCTTTGTCTGGGTTTGCCCAGGTACGAAATATGTTAGGGCCACACCTACAAAACTGAATTTGCTTGAAAAACGCTGAAAAACTCGGGCGCACGAGGCAGCTTCACTTTCGTACATGTATATTGCGACATATCCCAATCAGGACATGGAGATTTGCGTCAAAAAATCTTAAAATTAAGGGATAATAAAAAAGCATCACCGTGAAAATCTTTAATTTTGTGTTAAGCGTGGGCCGCAAGCGTAACGTTCGACTTCCCAAATGTATGAAAATTCGCAATTTAAAATCACAATAAAGTCCGCACAATAGCACAGTTTAAAATAATCCAAAATTTATACGAAAGTGAAGTTATCACATATACATTGTAATGGGTTCGAATCCAAGACAAAAAATTACAATTAAAATTTTCGTTTTTTAGAGAGAATAGTTGCAAGACTAAAAATCGCTATAGCATGGCTGTACTTACAGGCTAAGTCGACTTGATCGCAGCTAGGCCTCTGCTCGAAGCCCGAAGTCAGCAGAGGGTATGGTGTACTTGCAGCCGTTAAGTGCGACGGTGAATTTGGATTTATGAGCGGCACCTGTTCTAGATCTTCAGACGGTCGGTAGGGCGTCACGATTTGGCGTGGAGGCTGTAAAAAAGGAATCATTAGCTACTGCATATAAGACAAAAAATGTCGAAAAATTTAAAATCAAAATACATACTGGAAAACTTCCAAGCGCCACGCATGTATTAATTTAAAATTCACTTTAACTTCTGAAGTATTTAAAACTCTTATTCCCTGTGTTATGAAAAGCTTTGACCATTTCCAACACGTGTGCACTCAACAGGTGTTGCGGGCAGTATAAACAGGGTTGCACTTGGCCTTGTATTGCACAATTGCAGGCGATCGTTATACGCGCCTGCGTAGTGAGTTTATCAACTGGGCCCAGATTTATGCAAGTGAGCTGGTTTACATTATGCAGAGTGCACACTGCACATGGTGCATTACAAAATAATATCGAAAACGTAAAATAAGTTGTTTCGAGATTTATGTCTTTCATAGTGAGACAAATATCGTTTCTTTATATGCAAACATTGACAACTCTATCAAATTCAAACTTAACGGTTAGGGGTTTTAAGTGTTTGTTTGTCCTTCATCTCTCGGTATATCAATTTCCTATACAACCCCCTATAAAGGACCACCGAAATGAGCATGCAAATTTAAAACCAATTGTACGACCTTTAATTTAATCAGGATATTCGTCAGTGTATAAATACGCTTAGGTGCCCCGCTCTTCCGTCGTCTGAAGGTCAATAGTATAACCTTCAATTTAATATTGACATCCACGTCCCCGGGCAGGAGCTCGAGGACGTGGGAGTAAATATGCATGCGCAATGCAAATTCCGCATTGCAGCAGTAAATTCTAGGAATTGCCTGGATAGTTACTGCGTAATAGAATGTTCGAGATACGTTTGAGTGTGGGCGTAGGTAAGAACATTATGTTACAGACAAATCGTATCAGACGATTGTACTGCATGGGCGGATTTCAAGATTGATAAATTGTATTTCAACGCTTTGTTCGTCCAACATACTTTAGAAATATGAAGATTTTAAATTAATTAAAATATCAAATAAAATAGGATATCAAAAAGTTGTTACAGTCTACATTATTTTTAAACAATTATCTAATAATTTAAGTAATCATAATATTCATTAGAAAAACATAATTTTAACGCTGAAATATTCCACTAACACTGTTCGTCACATTATTTTTTTTTATTCTTGCTAAGTTTTAGATAACATAAGCTATAAGTTTAGTTTAGCGTGCTATGAGAAAACTTACACAACCAGCGGGATCCAAAAATGATATATCGCCGAAGTAAGCACCATCGGCGCCCACATGGCCTGTATGCTTCACGTCGCCTTGGGGGCTAGATATCATACTTCGTTGTATTGAACGTTTGCCCATAACCGTGTGCCGTTTAGCATCAGATCGCAAAATTGATGAGCGGATGGAGCGTGACGGATGCGGAGAGGAGCCAGGCTCGAGTGATTGAGATCTCTGAGCAGAAATATGGTACTCTAATTTACATTTAACGAAATTGACCAACACAGCACAGCCATGTAAAAAATAAATCTGTCTAATTATCTAATAAATTCTCTTTCGTATTCTGCCAAATTGTGTTTACGCTATGATTAAAAGAGATAACTTTAGAAAAAACGGGTGCAACTGATTCATTTTTAAAGAAGGAGGGGATGAAAAGTATTTGCCATGTTTCTCGGGTTAATAATATTGTTATAGAATGCATAGCCCAGATTATTTAGTTGTACTCAGAGTATTCATTTGTAACGGTAAGGCGATGTAGGTTTAAATTACCTCTTCATTACTATATTTGAACAATATTCGAACATAAAATTTCGTGGAATAGGATAAAAATTTATTCTTAGTACGTTGTTAAATTAAAACTTCAGTTCTTAACTTTTTGAATGTTGTATAACTGTATGAATAATCTATAAATGTTTCTGTTTAAATAATTGGTATTATAGCAAAATAGATTATCTAACCTAAGATTTTCTCAGGACTTTACCGCCTAACAGCAAAGTGTAATATAATATATATAACGGTCAATCTCATCAAATGTATGTACTAATAAAGTGTTTAGTCCTTCGAACATTATTTTTAGCTAATAAAAATTAATTATTAAATAGCTTTAAATATTAATAATTGAAATTACTAAGTTTTTTTAAAGTAACTTAGTAAGGAGTAAATAAGCCAGTACTAAAAACAAACGATTTTAGTAATGGCTTAAAAATCGATATGTTCGGAGGCCCAAAACCTTAGTTTATCAAGCACAAGAAAAATGAATGAATGTATGATAAAATAGATTAATAATTATATAACAATAATCCCCTTATTGTATACGACAATGCACAAGCAAAATAAACAAAAAAAAGAATACGATTATCGTAGTAATAATAATTATAAAATTCCACATATAAAATTAAAAGTTCTAATATAAATAAATGGCTTAGCAGGAATGATGATTTTAATATATTGAAAATATATCGCACACACTATTAGTATATAAAAATAAGTACCTCATTTTTGATGATTGGTTTCATGTTGTTCGGATCGAAAATCCCACATGTTCCGCCAGATAAAACGCCATACCACATCGCAGTCTTTGTAAAATCCCTGTGGACATGATATAGTACATTTATACATAATACTAGCTGCCCCCGCGAACTTCGTTTCTCCTTAATGCCTAGTCTACCTTTTTAGTACATACCAACATGGAACATTTTGCTATGCTACCCCATAGACTGTTCGGTTTTCCGGAATGAAAACTTTTTAGGTTTTTCTGTGCTTTTCTCTATATAAACCTCACAGTTCTTATTAACCAACAAATAAAAAATAGGGTTTGATCGTAGAGGGTAGATGAAAATTAAGTTTTATGTATTTTTGTATTCTGTATCATAAAAAAAACAATAAGAGAATTTTATATATTAGATTTTAGCTTAGTATAAGAATATATAATATAATATATATAATATAATATTATACTATATATGTATAAGAATAAAAACCTAGTCCTATGTTCGATTATAACAATTATGCAAACGCGAATTAATTGCAAACCACTTATTTTAAATTGTTGTTTTCTGAGTATTTGGAATATTAAGTTTTATAGTAGTTAATGTAACGCCAGAGAGAAATGACTTTTAATTTAAAAAAATTTCTATTCATACATTTTTTTTTATTTAGAAAAATCTTAGTTTCGCGATTTTTCATATAAAAGTTTTGGCAGACATATATTGTTTTTATTTTAATATTTACGCGTTTTTCCGTAGGTACAGACCACGGATCTCGACTTGCTACGGTCCTGACATACCTCTCTCTTATTCCACTTTCATTACATTAATGCATGCTCGTCGGTTATGGGGACTTTTGACTTTTGTCTCTAGTACCTGATGTTTGTTCCAGGTATCTCCGACAAAGCCTACCTAACCCGACTTCACCATCCACATACATTATATTAATAAACAATAGAGCTAATAATTTGAATCATTATATCGAACAGGAGACAACATACTCTTTCCCAAGAACTGTAATTTTTTGACCAACTTTGTATTTCAGAAAGTTACTACGACGGCCTTCCTCGCTCCTTTGTTGATTACCAATCGCTTGAACCTGAAAAATATCATAATATAATACTAAGATAAACAACATTTTATAATGAGAACCGGCCTTGCGGTTATGTGAACTTATTTAATTCTAAACTTTTAATTATTAATATTATGTACCTTGATACCGTCGAATTGTACGAAGTACATTAATTACATAACAAAAAGATAATTTTGCAATGATGCGACATTTCTCTTACAGCAGGAATATTTTTAAGCCACTAGTCTCAATAGTAGGTATGTTGAAACATACATAACGTGAAGGTGAGTTTCATCGTAGGACGTCAGTTCGTTCCACAACAGTGCTTGCGTCACTGCAAATCAATTCGATGTCTATGGGCGGCGGTATCACTTAACATCAGGTGAGCTTCTTGCCCGTTTGCCCCCGTATTTTATAGGAAAAAAAATATTGTATTAATTTTTCAATTCTAATAGTAACGATGTCGTGATATGAATTAAAACCCAGTGAAACATGTAAAATTCTGGTATGAGTATTATAAAGCGTCATTTAATACACTATACAGGCATGTTTGTTCATTTAATGGCCTTTTTGGTAAAAAAAATCGGTTGTCTGTAAAGTCAGTTTACTGACGATAGTTTAACGTGATAACGTCAACTAGAAAATACTGATATTCCATCAGTCGGTTTCGTTCGGTTGCATTTTTCAAAAGAAAATTTTAATTTTATTTGTTTGATAGATATTTTGTATGGATATAGAGGAGGTAAATGGAAATTACAATTGAATTGATCAAGTTTCATGTATTTGTACGCATAAATACAATTATGTCATATTTTTGTGCCTCTTTGTCGCTCGTTCCGCGCTCTCGCTTGCACTTCAAGCCTTAAATGGAACGCCTCAGAGGTAACGCCGCGCCGCGAGGTAACGCCGCATGAGTCTGTTTTTTCGTGAGTGCAGCCGGCTCCATCAAATTATAAGACGTTATCACGTCAAAAACTGTAGCTTAAACGCAATGCTTAGAAGGTTTGGGCATGTAGAAAGGATGAATGAGAAGCGGTTTACGAATAGGATATACAAAGCAACCGTGGATTGTGAGGTTGGGTCTGATAGACCTCGTCGTACATCCCTGGATCAAGTCCAGGACGTACTGGATAAGGCACGGGTCAAAAGTAGTCAGACGACGAGCGTGCATGGCGGATGTCATGAAAGTGGGTGAAACGAAAAAGGTATGGCAGGGCCTTAATATGTGGAAATTCGCGGTCTCTGCCTACCAATTACGGAAAAGGCGTGAGTGTACAGATAGATAATTCCTCAACGTGGGACCCACGTGTGGCACACACATTTAGATTGTTATTTTGAATATACGAAAATTTAATAAAATTATTTGGATTTTAAATGTTAGTAATTCATTATATGTTTCTGAAATAAACTTACTGTGAATACCTAGTAATTTCTACTATTTCCTAGTAATTTCTACCAAAAACTTATAATTTAAGTTTCTTAAGTGAACAATTCAATTTGCATTTTTTATTAATTTCATAAGAATGTTATATTATTACCCAATAGAGTTGTCTATTACGCGTGATACATTACCTCTTCAGGTCTTATTTGCTTTAGACGAGGCTTTAAGTCTTTAAACTTCGGTCTATTGTTAGGATCATGAGACCAGCACTCAAGCATCAGTGAGTAATAAGCATCGGGACAGCATTCTGGGCGCTCTAATCGCTGAAAAATTTATTAAAAAAACGTTTAATATTCATAGCACATTGTTGATAGACATATTTTATATAGATAAGACATAACAATTTAAAAAAATGATCATTTAAATATTATTAAAATATCAAAACAGTCGCAGGCTACCGCGTGCGACTCTCGTGCCGGTCGTCCCCGGCTGTGCACCAATTGACTTATTTATATTATATATGTGCGCATCTAACACTCGCTCATACGGTGAAGGAAAACTACTTGAGTAAAACGGCATGCCATAGACACAAAAAGTCGACGGTATGTGTTAGACAGAAGGCTAAGCACCTACTTGTATATTTAATAATAATGATCTAAGAAACTAAATCTGAGATAGAGGATAGTAGCACAACTGTATTCCTAATATTATTAACATATTAAAAATATCAAACATAGCAATATATTGATATATTTTATAATATAAGGTACTATTGACATTAACATTTTAAAAATGTATATCAGGGGAACAATATTACTGAAACGATTATCAAGAGAGATGTGCAGTAGTTGGGGGCATTAATATATTTGAATTCCAATATTATAAGAATTGGTAACAGAAACGTTTTTAAATATTATAAAAATACCTGATAGTTAGGTGCGTCAATGGCTTCCAGAATTTGTTGTCCGGAGAATGCAACCCACGGCCGAAAACCATAAGTGAACATTTCCCATAGACACACACCAAATGCCCATACATCACTTGCTGATGTAAAGCGCAGATACAGTATACACTCCGGAGCACACCTAGACAAAATAACTGGTTTAAAGAACTCCAAAACCAGTTAAAATAACACTTTAAACCATAGTTGGAAAGTCGTGTTGGAGACATCTAACCATTACTTTAATACAATTTAAACTGCTTGTCAAACATATGCCTGAAGTTCGATTCGAACAAACGGGTGTATGGAAGCCGGAGCCTTTATTCTCCCTTGATACCCATTGTCGAGTGGGCCTGACGGCCTTCCCTCGATCGTACTTAAGACATGAGCTTCTGAGTTGACTCCAGTGCTCACATGGCTCTTTCGACTATCGTACTGCTCGGGCGTAGTTCCTAGCTCATGAAAGCCTGCCATGTTTACCCCATACCCAAAAAAAGGCCACCGCTCGGACTCATCCAGCTGCAGACTTATCGGAATCACTTCTTTATTTTCCAAGCTAATGGAGTCTATTATCAACAGGCAGCTCTTGCGATATCTGGAGGAGCACCAGCTCCAGCACCAGCATTAGACGTTCTCTAATTCGTCCGTAAGGCTTTCGCCGAGGTCCCACGGCTGGTGATCTTTTTGCCTACCTGAGTCATAGGTGGGCCGAAGTTGTGGAAGTAAGGGAGAGGCATTGGATGCTAGATTGGAGCCTTCGATAGAGTTTGGCATAGGGCACTTCTGTCGAAACTACTGTCATACGGTTTGCCCGATGGTTGGCTAATTTTCTTGCAGGTCGTAGCATTGAAGTCTTAGTAGACGGAGCGTGCTTCAATTCTAAACCCATCAATGCAGGCGTACTTATGCCCACCCAGTTAGTTCTGCATAACATCGACACATTATATTCCGGCCATCTGAACATTTCTCGATCTGAAGTCCATGAGAACCGTATACAAACTTGTTTCCAAAATTTAAACGATACTGGAGAAAGTTTCTGTTTGGGGTAGTAGCAACCTTGTTAATTTTAACCCTACAAAGACCCAGGTTTGATCGTTTTCTGCCAAGAAAGATCCTTTTGTTGTGTGTGATCAATTTGAAGGCGCTCTCCTTAATACTTCACACAGCCTCAGTATTCTTGGGGTTGGTATATCGAGAGAAGTCCAATTCCGCAGTCACCTGTAAGGAAAAATCAGACTGGCTTCCAAAAATCTGGCCAGCTAGGTAAGCAATATTTCACTGAGGCACAACGTATGCAGCTCTACAAGGTTCAAGTACGACCGCATATGGAATACTGCTCACATCTCTGTGCCGGTGCCCCCAAACACCAGCTTCTTTCTCTTAGAAGTTAATTTCAGCAAAGGCGAAATTTGTCGAATAATCAATCTCCAACGTATTACTGATCGGCTTGATTCCCTCATTCTACGCAGAGAATTTGCGCCTCTTTGTGTTTTCTACAAAGTGTACTAGGGTGAGTGTTCTGAAGAATTGTTTGGGTTGATCCCTCCTGCCTCGTTTCAACACCGTACGCCTTATAAATTTGAAATTTCATCAATATACCTGGATGGCCGGAAGTCTTCCACAGTCCGCTTCCGAGGACACGTTCTTTTGCGAACTAGCGGACAGTTTAATCGATCCCCAGTGGGAGTCTTCCCTGAGAGATACAACCTTCAACTATTCAAAGTTTAAGTGTACAGAAGGTAAAGCCCGACAATGCACGCACTAAAAATGGGTGTCCAACGGCTGGGATAACTGCTTCTTTGCCCCCTACCCCCCCTATTATTGAAAAAAATTGGTTGCGACAGTCCTGTATGTAGAGTTCTGGTATAAAAAAACAGACATGCTTTCATGTTTTGGTAATTTGAACTACTATTTTTGGTAAAAAGAACTAATAAGGCTTTTATGTAACCAATTTAGAATCTCTACAAATTTGTTCTAGTAGTGAAAGCTTATTTTATTTGTGTTAAATAATTTTAACAAAATCTGGGTTTAATGGAGGACTATTAAAAATAATACATTCCCATTTAACAAAAAATGTATGTATATTAAACATTATATATATATTCGCACACGACATTATATGTATATACTGAATTTTAATATTTAAGCAGCAATTATTGTTTATGAATATATATATATAATATGGTACAATGGTTAGTGTATCATTTAACTTTTAGTAGTTAGAAAATTAACTCACCAAGCTACAGGTAGTTTAAGATTAACATTATAATTTGTTTGATAATAGTCTTTCCCAACACCTAAAGCTCTTGATAAACCAAAATCAGAAATTTTTACTCTATCTTTGCTAAATACTAATATATTTCTTGCAGCAAGATCTCTGAAACATAAAAAAATTATATAAGTAACAACTAAACATAACACCTTGGAACAATTATTTTTTTCTAGAGTTTATTTTTAATAACTCACAGCTCCTTATAAAATGTAAATTATAACTGTTAGATCTTAGTATAATATATGCTACATTGTATTTTACATTACTAGTTTTTTTTTAATTTTACGCATGACACCCTGCGATTGACATTAAACCAAACATGATATTAGCAGAAAATGACAATATTAATACCTATGAATCAGTCTTTTATTTTCAAGATAAGTCATTCCATCACAGATTTGTTCAGCAAACTCGCAAAGATTAGGCACTGGGAAATTACTTCGAAAAGTTACTTCCTGTAGGCATTCTAAAAGAGATCTAAGGGGTGCCAGTTCTGTTACCTAGAAAAAAATAAAATTAATTAGAGAAGCTTTTAAATTCAGATCTTTGCTTGGTGAAATATAATGTTATGTCAAAGTTTTATTGATGATTTTGTTGGTTGAAAAAAATTAAACACTAATGTAAAATGTCTATTAATCATGAGGACTTATTTTTTTATTCCACATCATTATTCTATCTTTACAGTTAATACTAATTCGATAGAACGAGACATTAATTATACCCACACCGATTAACCTACATAAAAAACATTAAAAAATATATTAATATACCTAAATCTTATAACTAATAATATAGGAAGCAACTCTTGTGAACTCCGCCAGTGTACAAACAAATAGGTCTACCTCAACAGAAATTCTATTTATTATATGTATTGCTAGCGTGATCGCGCTTTGCTAACCAAGTTGGAATGTGCTCGCGGTACATCCAAAAGTTGAGACTTGCGCCTCAGGTTTTTAATTGGTACCTGTAGACTCAGTCTCTCCATTATATCCAGATTATGAACCCAACCCGTAAGTATCTTAAATAAATACACTGACAAAGCTAGCTCTTATTATTTTTTTATTAACTTTACATGCAAGAAATTGCAGTGTAGTATATAACTGCAACTTTCAGTTTATTTGTTAAAGATATATAAAATTATAGGTTATTATGATTATTAATATTTAACTTACCAGCATAAGGGAATCCATATGTAGAACAACCCCATACAACCTTACTATACTAGGATGTTCAATACTATGCATCACAGCCGCTTCTTTAAGGAATTCTGTAGAGTTTGATGTCATTCGCTCATTACCAAGACACTTTATAGCAACTTGCAACTGTAAAATAATAAAATATCATTAATGTAGCATTGATTTTAAGGACAGTTAACTTAAATTTAAATATAAAATACGAAATTAATAAAATATATTGCATTTTAGAATTTTAATATGTACATCATGTTTTTATGTGTTCTTCATAAAAAAATACTAACTCTTTGATTGCCAGTAGCCCATGTTCCCTGCTGAACAACACCAAACTGTCCCATGCCTAATTCCTTATTTATTGTTATGTCTTCTATTGAAATAATATGTTTTGGAGATACTTTAGTATTGCTCTCAGAATATTGATGAAAATCAACAGTGTTTAAATTAAGTTCATGATTAAACTGAAACAGGAATATTAAGTTTAACTGAAAAACTTTTCAAAGATATGATAAAACTTCCACTAAAGTAAATACTTTTTTACTTACAGTTTCATGCTTTTTGTTTGCGCTAAGGAGCTTTTTTATTTTTGTCATATAATTGTTTGGAAAATATTTGGTGTAGAGTTTTTTATACCTTCTTTGCTCTGGTTTTGACAGACCAATTTGTGCAAGGTCTTCAATTGCAACATATTTTAGTTGTGACAATTTGCTAACTTTTAATATATCCCTGAAAAAAATAAATACTAACATTGTATTGTGTGCAACACGACACGCACAGCAATTAATGCTTTTTTTGACAAGTCCCCATATTTTATTGTTTTCTTTTTATGCTCTTTTGCCTTATAATATATTACAATAAATGAACTGAATATCATGTAGAGATAATTTATCTAAGAAAAAAAAATAAGTTGTATATTCTTAATGCTAAAATATATATAAATTGCATGATCAAACATTTGCATCAGCAGCTTTGCTAGCTATGTTCTAAAAAATATTACATCTCAAGATTTTGTTATGGTAGTGTATTAAACTATGACTCTATAATATATTTAAATCTTAATGTCCTGATATATTATTATAGTTATAGTTCTAAAATATAAATTAGTAGTTCTATATAATATAATAACTATGTTCAAAGCTGTAAATCTTTTGCACACTGCACATATAAAATGTAAAAAAATCACCTGAATAATTCATAATATTGATGTAGTTCTGCTTCTAAAAGAAAGTCCCTTAAAGCTTCATAGTCATCAACTAAATGATCTGAAAACAGATATATTCTGAGCAGGCCTAATGCAAAAATAATTATTGTAGGAAGGTGTAAAGGTACAACTTTTAAATTACTTTATTTCATGGTCAGATAATGCAACATTTCTTACCCATGATTCTTAAAGAATTCAATATATTTTGTAACGCCGATCCAGTTCCCGAAAATTGTTTACGTGTTAATGTTTTCAGTTAAAATAACATGGCCATTATGCGTCTATCCGCCGTAAACATTACGAGAGTCGAGACGACATAAAATAATAATGTAACCGATCTATTTATTAAGTAAATATTTAGTAATTATTTAATAAATATATATATACTACGATAAGTGTGACGCTAAACTTGCTGTGAACTTTTTAGTTTAAAAAGAATATTGTAAGTTTGTCTTTGTATTTGTAAGTTTGTAGCTTTGTAGTTTGTAGTTTGTGAACAGTGAAAGTGAATTCAACTTTGCGTTTGCGGTTTGAAGACTTGTACAATTATTTAGTCACTACTCACTGTCATCTTTGTAAAGTCACTTTACAAAAGTGTTACTAAATAGTAGTGAATCATAAAATGTCTTTAGATTGTAGAGTCCTTACTTAGATCCAAAATTTGAAACTTCATTAATTTAAGCGGTAAAACTAAACAAAACCTCAATTTTACGGTGTTTAATTAAAAAAGGAATAATTCGTTTTCTATACTATTAGTATTCAGGTAACGGGCAACATAACATAATAATGGATCGCGCACTGTACAATTTTTGAAGTGAAAACTTCTTTAGCGGTGTTGTACACTTTTTTTGGAATGGGTAAAAAATGTTAAACTCGCGTCAGGACAAATTCGTAAGACGGATGTTTTTTAAAGGATTATGAACCTTCGTGCTGTATAGTTACGGTTTTAATTCATTTGTCATTTGTGTAATGCACAACGTTAATAATAAAATTTCGCACATCTGCCGGCACTCCCGGAGTGCAACCCGCCGTTTTTTTTAAACTGTGTATGTATATAGGCAACAAATACATTTACATCCTTGCAGACTATTTTAGAATCAAAGTAATCAACAATACATATTATTTTACCGAGCCATTAACGCTATTCCTAATATCTTAACTGTACTTAATAATAAATATGTACTAAATATAACGAAGATGTAGAAGTTTTGGAATTCATGAAGAGTCATAGAATTTTCTAGTCATGTATTCATGTATACTTATGGAAGTGGCAACTAACAAACTTGACGGTTAAAGCCTTATACAATTTGTTTGATGGCAACTCACCAACGAACTGTCAACCGATGAACCGAGGTTTGCAAATATGGCGCAGGTTTCTACAAAATGCAGTTCACATAATAAGTTTTAGTTGTCATTTTCAAGTTTGCAAGAAAAAATTGAGAAATGAATTTTTAATAACCCTTGTCTGTTTTAATAATTAATAGTGCTATGCAGAACTGTTGATGTGAATTATCGCTATGTAGGTACACAAGCTTTACAATCATTTGCGTTTTCATTAAAATAATTTACCGTACATTAGTCTTTTCCTCTATTGCACTAAGAATGCAGTACCTCAATATTTTTTTTTAAATATTGTAAGCAGAAGTTTCTTAGACGTGACCGATAATTATTTTAATAAATATAAATAAGATTGCAACAAGAAATGGTTTTGTCAAGATTTGCTCTTATGAATAATTGAAAAAAATATTAGTGAATAAGTATTGTATAAGCTTAGTAAGTAATGTGTTAATAATGTTTAATTTATCTTTATATATAAGTCTGTATATTGAACGTTTATTATATATTTAAAGTAGAGTTTGAGACTGTAGAGTGTGTGTGGTTATACTAAAGACTAAGTGATATTTAAGAACTCTCCTAAATGGCAATGGAATGCTGCAACATGGCTCTTCTGTCAGGTATGTTTTTGTTTTAATCTTTCTTAAAATATAGTTAAGGAGAATTCTTGTAGTAAATTTTATTACCTGTGATTGCCTGTGTAGGTGTTACATTCTAATAAATGTGTTTTATTAGAAAGTAATGTGAACAGGAAATAAATTTTGTTACAAAATAGAATGTCATAAATTTTTCGCATATTTGTTTTGTAGTAAATTACTAAAACGCATATTTAAGCCCGGGTAGTATTTTAATTAACTTAATCTTATTAGTCATAACTCTTTGTTATTGGTATTTACAAAGTCTCTAAACACTTTAGAAGAACTTAAAATATTAAAGAGTTAAAGCCCAAGTTTCATTGTTACAATACCCTTTAGACTTTAACAATAAAATTAAAATTACTTTAAACAGACTCGTAAATTCTTAACTTGGATACATTTTTTCATTGTAATCTGGAATTTTATTGTACCTTTAGTTAATGAAAAATAGAGAAAACATTTATATCCTACTGCTTATTTGCCATTCTGATTGCTTGATGTAAATACATATTATAATAAAAGTTACAATATAAATAGTAACTAACTCCTTCAGATTAATTACAGAAAACTATCTTAAAGTTTCTGACAGAATGTGGTAATGAGTATTAGTAGTACTGAATACTTTTTCATTAGCCTATTTCAGGCATCACTTTAATATAAACCTTATAAATGGTATCTCCAATTAATTTGATAACAGCCTAGATCTATCCAGAATCCTTGGAATGACTGCTTAGACAGGTGTACATAAGCTATTTTAATTTTATCCTTTTTATGAAATTGAAAGAGAATATAATATAGGAATTCCCCTTAAACTTTTATATATGTATATATAATTCAATTTTGTAAAATTTGGCATTTTCTTTAGTTTTTAGTACATTAGTTATCTTATCTTGATCTTTAATACATATAATTTACTAAACAAATAAAAATAACATGTCTTTTCCATACTGTGTTGTAAGTAGTAATTACATTAATGTTTGCTTAGGTTCAAATTGAAAGGATAATGTGATGTGATGACATGATATTTACTTTACTATATTAATTGCACTGAATAGTACAATGTTATTAGTATAACATACATAACTACATATGTTGAAGATTGATATGGCTTTAAAACATATACCTTTGGATATACATTAATATTCTAAAACAATAATGAAATGATTAATAAATAATCTTATTACATTCCCTTGCCCTACGCCCCTGACCTCTATGGCATCTGTAGATCACCAATCTGCGACTAATGTGTCTCTATATTTTTTAAACTTTATATTAAACTCATTCAATTCAAATAGAAGACAAAGGAGAAATAATTAAAGTAACTTAAACAAAAATAAGGCTCCTTATTTATCAATGCTAATTAATATTTAGATATTTTGAAGCAAATTTTTGTTGGCAGAAAAAAATACAAATTAAAATTTTGTGGTGGTTGTTATGATGTTATTTGACCTTCAAAGAGAGGCTCATATGCTTGTAATAAATGACATTTGTTTGAAAATCTTCGGTAATAAATCAGTTCACCAATTTATTATGATATATAGATATAGAATATGCAATATATTTTCATGAGTATGCAACAACGCATTTAACTAGTTAAGCCTTAGTTTAATCATCTTTATATTGTTCTCTATGTTCTTTTTAATTATTAGGCTTTGTAAAACGCAATTAATTTCCCAAAATTGTTTGTGAAATTTGAAAAAAAAAATAATAGGTTTTGTAATAATTCGTCTTGAGACCTCCACACGCTAATCCGCAGTTGCGATATCCTTTCCGTTAGATTAAATATAAAGTTAAAACAATTGTGCAATTAAACAAGCTAGAAAATTAAAACGAGCAATTATTTTCAAAGATAATAGAAACGAGATAATAATTATAGAACGATTTATTCCTATGTAGAGTAGGACAATTGTTAATTTCATGTTATAAAAAAAGTACACTGCTTTTGTGTACCTTGTTCTCTTTCAAAAAGATCATTTATGAAATCAATATTTTATTTATACGTACTATTTCCTTGCTGCAGACTACCTGGAAGTCTATACGTATTTCCTTTCTATCTCCGTATCAATGTTTCTGAACATACATAACAGAAAAGTAAATGCCGCTTAAAACTGTGTTCGCATTGAAACGGAATACGTAAAATTCATGAAAATGTAGTTTCAACCCCATTCTCAAGCCTTTTTGTAATTAACGCCATTCGAATAACAACACTCAAACGCGTCAAACATCTGGCTTAACTCAGCAATGCTTTAAAACGATTTTCTTGTTTAAATTAAAAATATGCTCATTTAATTACACCATTTATTTAAGACATAATTTTTTAAATCTGTTCTTATACGTATCGGTAAGTTGGCTAGTTCAACAATTTATTTCAAGGGAGATTTACTTAACAATATTGAATTGTAAAAAGTCGACTTTTTTAAGACTTTAAATTTATATTACTAGGTTGTCTTTTTAATTATTTGATGGGCTAATTAGTTTTAGAGTCGTTCATAATAGTATCTCTAATGAGACGCTAGTCAATATAAGATCTCACGAACGGTGCAATTTAGCTACGAAATTTAATGTCCGATTAGTACCTAACTGATTTTAGGAAGCGTGAAGCAGTAAAAGAGCTTTTTACCTTTCAATAGAATATATGTTTACCTTTTTTACGATACTCTGAGAATGGTGCAATAATGAAAATATCGTCGCTTAAATACCGACATGAAATTGATATTTATAAATGTGATGTAATCTTAAGACATTTAAAGAACTCTTAGATAGAATAAGAACCATTGTCTCGTGCGGTGACGCTTAGGTACATGGAAATTATTTTAAGGCTCATACGAGCTCTAAATATAAATTGGGATTTGTGATGTCATGACATAGGTCATACGTACATTTACGTCCAAATACTGATGACATCAGTGACTGAAGTATCATGCGATTAAAAAATGCAGTACATGGTTATTGTAATTATTAATTGTTTTATGGAGTTTGTATATAATTTTAACGCGCCTTGCGTGTTTACTAACAATATAGAAAAGCTACACAGCATGGTCAATCACGCCCTATTTCTAATAACAAAGCTGTATTATTTTAGGGGATATTAAATGGGAATTGAGTACCTTCCATCTATGTTGAGTATAAACGGTATATATATTCAAAGACGAACAGTTGAAAGCTTAGCCAAAGTAAAAGAAAATGGGCATGAAGCAAAACATTTAATAAA